CATAATTTGGGAGACTTTGATTACTTTGCGATTGATATCTGTGCGAGAAGGCGCAATGAGGTTTTGGATTAGAAAACTCGTGGGTGACTGCGATTGATACGTATGCCAAGAATGACTTGATGTACGCATAAGTTCCCCCTCCTCTTTGCATTTGTACTTACATATCAATCTGTTTTGTATCTGCTATCAAGCGTATTCGATGCTTCAAATCGTTGACACAATTTTCGAAGATAATAATTCATAATTGGATATATTATCAAAATTGTTTGGGTTCTGTGGAAATTCTTCCTAGACCCCTGGGAGAGCTCCATAAGTCCCCCCTTCAAACTATTATCCTCGTGGTCCCCTATAACATAACTGCAACTATCCATTTTTATCATTATTCACATATCTAATATACCCCAGGTCCATTGATGTATCGTCACATCAAACTATAATCCAGCAATACATGTGGCAATTGAGCTGCCACCAGGATCCACCCACGAGAATCCCAAGTTTCAGTCCTGTTCGTCCTTATCATGTCTATACCTTGCCTTGGATTTTTGAAGATGCTCGCTCCCTCCACCATTCCAGAACTCAAACTACACATCAGTTTCCACTATTGTTCTCCCCCAAGCCTGTTTTATCGCTATCAAGTATTTCAAATAGATTTGATTGTAGTTCATATCTCTGAGATTAGGCGGGGGGGGGCCCGGATCTGGATATGAGTGAGGAAGGTACAAAGTTCTCGACCCGGCCGGGGATGGGAAGCTTGATGGGATAATTTGATTCAAGCACCTCGCTAATTCTGGCACCTTTTGCCGTACGTAGTTACCACATCCTGTGGCTATTTGGATAATTGGAATGAACCACAGATCGCTGCGATGCGACCAGCCGCAGCTTGCAGCCTGCAATAGAGAGCTTCCAGACCGTGTTTCTTCCTGATAAAGCTCCTTTGTAACGTGATAATTGTACATATAGCCGATGCTATTTCTGCGATCTATTCTGGATGAGACTTTTCGTGAATTTCTTTCGTATTCGGGGGTTTGGAGTATGACACATACAACACTATACCTTGGTACCTCCTCCGTACTCATTCACCATGTGGAAACATCGTGAAAACCCCCAAATCCTCCTCTCTACAACAATTGAAAGCCATGAAACACGGCAAATGGAGATTAAAGTTCGATTTTAATTTGAATCTGACAGATAGATCCTTCAGGCCGGTTTCCAAATCCTTCTAGATCTGTTCCTAGATCTACGCACCTCTCGGTTGGTCAAACTCTGCGTGTACCGGCTAATGTGATGTGAACGAAAAAGATTTGTGCCTTTTCGGAGTTCAGGAGACAGGGAAGAAAACAAACGGTATTATCGGAAGGTGCTAGCCATAATAGGAAGCCACGGCATATCATGTGATGGTGTAGATCCCGAGGTCATTCTTACGTTTGAGGCCTTAGGCCCGACATTCGTGATTACCCCTCCCACCTTCCAACCAAAATACATTCAACACAAACCCAGAAAGAAATCTTTGACCTTCACCGACCAACGCCAGTAAGCTCAAGTTTGGTCCGGCAATTGAAATACCTCATTCCATCCAATAGGGGTTCTCGATATATGAATACTTTGCTCTCTATCGGACGCGGTATCATCACATCTGCACCTCGAATAGTATCAGCCCGTCAAACCATGGTGACAGTTCGTACGATGGCCTCAGTTTCTACCATCAACATGCCACGTGATCCAAACACCTTGTCGAATTACAACAATTGGAGAACGAAGCATACAATCGCCGATTTAGCGATTGATTTCACGAAACAGCGAGTTCATGGCACAGTTACACTACAGCTTGAATCCATCACGGATAAGGAATCTGAAGAGATAATCCTTGATACTAGTTTCGTTGATGTGCAAAATGTTGCCGTTGACGAGAATAAGACTGGTGAATGGACTCTCGAAAAACGCATTGAACCATTCGGCAGTCCTCTTTCTGTGAAGATCCCAGGCGGAGCAGCAAAGGGTACTATCATTGCACTCGCCATTACGCTATCAACTACCGATAAATGCACAGCTCTCCAATGGCTCACTCCCGCTCAGACCTCGAACAAAAAGTTCCCATACATGTTCTCTCAATGCCAAGCCATTCATAACCGCTCGATCTTCCCATGTCAAGACACTCCTGATGTAAAGAGCACATATGATTTCCGAATTCGCTCTCCTCTTCCCGTTCTTGCCAGTGGCTTGCCCCGTGGTGCAACTTCATTTGTTCATGGCGAAAATGGCGAATCCGGAACCCTTCTCTATTCCTTTTACCAGGAAATCCCTATGCCATCTTATCTCTTTGCTCTCGCATCAGGTGATATTGCTACTGCATCTATCGGCCCACGTTCCCTCGTTTCCACTGGTCCAGAAGAGCTCATCGGTGCTAAGTGGGAACTCGAGAAAGATACCGAGAAGTTTATTGAGACTATAGAGAAAATTGTCTACCCCTACGAATGGACCCAATACAATGTTTTGGTCTTACCACCAAGTTTCCCTTATGGTGGCATGGAGAATCCAGTATTTACTTTTGCTACTCCTACTATCATTAGTGGAGATAGAGAGAATGTTGATGTGATTGCTCATGAGTTGGCTCATAGTTGGAGTGGTAACTTGGTCTCCAATGCTAGTTGGGAACATTTGTAGGTTTTGAGAATTTCACAGATTGCTTTGCTTGCTCTCATTTTTACGAAAATGGAGGATTTCTTGCAGATGGAGATTATTCAACTAACATTTATATAGCTGGTTGAACGAGGGATGGACAGTCTATTTAGAAAGAAGAATTATTGCTGCTGTGCATGGTGAAGCATATAGAGACTTTTCTTCCATTATTGGATGGAAAGCTCTTGGTAAGTCATACTTTTGGATGCAAAATTTCGAAAGCTAATATCTAAATACAGAGGATTCTGTCAAGCTCTATGGCGAAGATCATGAATTCACCAAATTGGTCGTTGATCTGAAGGGTAAGGACCCAGATGATGCCTTCAGCAGTGTTCCATATGAGAAGGTAGGTAGTTCCGATGGTTTAAATTTAGGGCTAAAATTCTAACGTATTCAGGGTTTCCATTTCCTCTACTATCTTGAGAGACTTGTAGGTAAACCATCATGGGATAAATTCATCCCACATTATTTCACCACTTGGAAGAAAAAGTCTCTCGACTCTTATGATTTCAAGGCCACGCTTCTTGATTTCTTTGCTTCTGATTCAGCTACTTCTAAAGCTCTCGAGTCAGTTGATTGGGATTCTTGGTTCTACAAGCCAGGTCTTCCCTCAAAGCCAGATTTTGACACAAGCTTGGTCGATAAATGCTATGCTCTAGCGAAGAAATGGGAGTCAAAGGTAAATAATGTGTTAAACTACATCACTACACATGAACTAATTCCTTTTAGGATTTCACACCCTCCCCATCCGACATTGAAGGTTGGGCCGCAAACCAAGTAGTTGTCTTCCTTCAACAAGTCCAACTCGTCACCACTCCTCTCACCCCAGCTCAAAGTCAAGCAATGGGTAAAGCTTATGATCTTGTGAACACCAAAAACGTCGAACTTAGCTCCCGCTATTTCGGCGTTGGCTTAGCTGCAAAGGATGAATCAGTATATCAACCTACTGCAGAGTTGTTGGGTAAGGTCGGTAGAATGAAGTTCGTTAGAACACTTTACAGGAAATTGGTCGTTGTTGATAGGAAGCTGGCCGTTGAAACCTTTGAGAAGAACAAGGATTTCTATCATCCCATTTGTAGGGATCAAGTAGAGAAGGATTTGAAAGAGTAAAAAAAAAGCGAAATGTGGCAAGGAGAATGTGTTTGAGCATGCAGAAAAGCGGATATCCTGTGCTGCGAGTTTCTGATGATGATGCGAACAATCAATACATGCATAGCATAGCATAGCTTGTGATTGCTTAAAATACAGTTGATGAATGATAAGCTTTACTGTTCGTGTGAGGTCCCCAAATTTGTGTGAATATACGAAATGCATCGTGTGGTATCAAATGAAGCACAAAGCCATCTTAACTTGGCTCTACTATAAAAAGGTTCGCCATAAGATGGCCCTCCTCTTGTGATCACTTTTATCTTCTCGCTTATAAGGGTTTGTTGCACATCGCAGAAATGCATAGTTAGCTGTATGTACATGACGAGTAAGTGCTATATAAAGCTCAAGAGTGAATTCCTTAACTAGTGCTGAATTGATTGGTACTTGGGTTGTATAAGTTACGGAGAAAGTTTAACGTGTGTAGTATTTAAGAAAGATGAGAATCTTCTAACCACCCTCAAACTCGACCTAGAAATGCCAGTCTTTTGACCAAAGGGGTGTTCCCTTGCTGGGGGAAATTGAATAGGTGCGATGTTATAATGAAAGGGTTGGTGCACGAAGCGGAACAACTCCTACTACAAGGCAAAATAAGTGAATATCTTCTTGAAGATATCAAGCGTATATATTATAACGGTGAAGGATAACAATGACAGTGCTACTATGTATTGGCGAGAATGCTATTCAGAGACAGCAAAGTATCATGTAAGGCGCTGAAGTGATCTCACTTCCTTTCCATGTTCTGCTCACAATCGATGGCTAAATCTTTCGATTGGGCGTTGCTGAGCGCATTCTCGTTTAATAATTGTTTGCTATTCTTTCTGTAGCTAGTTACTATCCATGCTGATTGCAAAGTTTATGTTTATATAATCACATATCCAGGATGTCCTTCTCCAAGGATCTCCTTGTTACGTTGGGGCAGAGAAGGGTATCATGATTTGATATATTAGGTGAATATCGACCTCCAGTGGAGTGAAAGGGGCATAGAGGGGTAAACCATGGTACATACAGCAAGTTGCTTTGTAAAATCTAGGCCAAAAGTGAGAAGAGGAGAAGAGGATGACGCAAGCTGGAGGGGTTCGATAGCCAAAATCTGTGAATCCTAAGCTCTGAATTTCTCGCTTTCTTGGTCTCATTACAGGAGAGTGCGCCCTCTAGTCTGCATCCAGCAGAAGAAGCTATAGCCTGCCCTGAGGGTTTCGCTGAGCAGCTTCATCGACCAGGCCATGCAATGTCTCCATAATAGCTGGTCCGACCTCTGAATTCCATTTGTAAAGCTCTTTAAAATCCGCCGCGCTGACATACTCGATATCCCGAATTCTACTGGTTACATCCGCTCGGCACAATTGCTGAATGACGAACTCGAGCTGACTGACAATCCGAGTGATTTGCCAGGGCGCAATCATAGTACCATCGAAATGGATCTCCACATCGGCACCACTGTCCTGCAGAAAGATTTCAACATTTACAGGATAAGAATAAAAGTCTATCTGGTCACTAGGACAATACTCAAGCCCAATACGACTCTGCATGAAACGTCTATCTGGCTTCCCATCAACAATCAAGAAAGTTTGGAATTCCAAAGCAGTTTTTGCCTCCCCGCAACACTCTCGAATTCTTCGAAGACCGTAATGCTCATACGTGGTCATCTGGGCAGATTGCTGTTGAGCTCTCCCGAGATAGTCGATCAAAAAATCATGATCCTCGTGTTTCATCCGCACAGGTACAGTTGCCTAGGTTGGTCCATCTATATACGCTACTTCAGAAGCTGAAGCACTTCGCCCGCTGTTTGCTATGCCGAAAATTATATCTCTGGTATTCGAATAATGGCCCAATATTAAGGCCCAGGCTGTACGAACTATGATCGCCTTCGTGACTCTAAGACCGTTTTCCTTTGTAAAGATGATGGATTTCTTGAGCTTGTGATGGGATATGGGTGCGTAATCAGGAGTTGGCCTTTTGCAGAATTCTTTCGCAGAAGCAACCAGTAACTGCGATACCCAATAGACTTCGGCCCTCTCGTGGTCCACGTCTAACATACTTTTGATGAAACGTTGGAATTGTGCGGTCCGCGTTGGAACTTGCCCTATATAATACTCCTCCAAATTCTCGAACATCAATGGCAATATGATGCCGTCATACAAGGCATGAGATATCGTCCATACTAGGCATATGGAATTGGCGTTGTTGTGTATGAGAGCAAATCTGCTCAGAGGTTGACCATACTCCATCCCATCCAATGCATCCTGTGTGAGATACTCAGCAAGCTGAACTTTCCCGTCCGTGAAGGTGGTCCATGAAATATTGCTTTTGACAACAACTTACATCGAATCAACTAATATCTGAATAATCCGGGTCCGGAGAATGTCGTGATGCGCATGCAGATTTCGCCATGCCATCTCGAGCTGCCCAAGATCGACTGACTCTGGAATTCGATAAGTAAGCTGAACCATATAAGCTCCTTTCTGTTTGATGGAAAGTGTCATCAAGCTTTCCTGAAAAGGAGTACAAGGGTAAATATTTTCGACGCTATCCAAGAGAACACCACACTCCTCAGCTGCCTCTCGTCGAATTTCGTCGACGAGAAAGTGATTTGGTAGTAAAGATAAAGGCAATCTGGTCTCCTGAGCAGCCTCTGGCGCTATGTTTCTTGCAACCGCTGAAAGCTCACAGATTGTCGGGTGCTTAAAAATCTCGTCCACAGAGATTCTGAAACCATTGTCGCGGAACATAGCCACCAACCGCATAGCCGTGATTGAGTCTCCACCAAGACGGAAAAGTTTGTCATTAATTCCAATACAACTTCTCTTCAACTTAAGCACCTGACTCCAAATTCTCTGCATTTCTTTTTCTGTCGGGGTTGTGGGCGGCTGATGATCCACAGGCATTGAACCATACTTCGAGAATAATTGCATGGAGAATTCCGATGCCCTTGCATTCAGGCGTTTGCGATCAGTCTTTCCATTACCATTGAAAGGCATCTATTCCAAAAACAGCCATGCGGTGGCCATCATATAACGAGGGAGCCTGAGCTGAGCTTCTTAGTGATTTCAGGAACGATGGCGCTGAGGCGTTTATTTGAAGACAAGTTGATGGTAGTCTTCTGAGGTCTTTCAGATTGTCGCCCAATGCTGATGAAGGCAATCAAGAGTGGTTGTGCTGTTCCATTGGCGGGATGGACCATCTATACCACAGAGTAGGTGTCCTGGGGAAGAGCTTTGATGAGCTGCAGTTCGATCTCTACGAGCTCAATGCGTTGTCCACGAAGCTTAATTTGAGAGTCCATTCTGCCAATGAACCATATAGAACCATCACCAATATAGCGTGCCAGGTCTCCAGAACGATAAAATTTTCGAGGGGCAGATGCGTCATCTGTCTGAGCCCAAGCTGGAGCTTCGATAAATGCTCTGGCGGACTGTTCTGGATCATTTAAATATCCGGTGGCAAGTGAGGCTGTTGCTTTGAGATGAGATGCGGAAGATGTGGTTCCCACTATCAGTAGGCCCCTAAATGTCTATTTGTATTCAATCTAAAGAGCTAGCTATGTACGAAAGTAGTAGGCCTTATATAGGCACTATTGAAAGAGCTAGTCTCTTTCGCTTTCGCTTAATCCCTTTTATGCAGTAGCCATTGTATTGAAGTGAATCCTTTGAAGTGAACATCCTTGTTCATACAGAGGCAATCTCTCCAACTGCGCCGATTGGCATCAACTTGTTAATATCTCTGGGATCACATATCCATATACCGCAATCCATAACACGACCGAGATTTCTTCCAGGAGCATCAGGCGTACGACGTACCTGTTGAAGTTCACGATAGCGACGATGACGAAGCGCCACCGCCTATATTATCGAAGAAAAATAGGATTACATCATTGCCGGCAGTGGAAGAGAGGATAGTGATAAAGCGGGAGCCAAGATTATCACGAATGAAAAGACAAAAGCGGGTTCGAGTCTCTCCGTATGCTGTCTTTTCTTATTGGGAGAATTTACTCTACCTAAGGGAACTACAAAAATTGATAGCGAATTCCTTATCATGATGTAGATTTACACGGTCGTATGTAGATAGCCCCCCTATATCTATAGTAGGCATTTGTACTGTATTGAACTCTTTCCGTTTTCATCTAAGGTTATTGTGACTTGTAATACAGTATAGTACGGTTCCTTAGAAAAATTCAGTTGTGAGTGGTTGATTTAGATAGAAATTGTATGATTTCTTGATCTAAGTTTGAAATTAGCGTAAACTAATACAGCTCATCTTATCAAAACAATTCACTTACAAACCTGAATAGTTTAAACTAGTCGAAAATTGTTCCTATAAAATCAGAAAGAAAGTTGTCATTGTCAGGTGACCACTTTTTTGAAAACCATACTTCTCGAGCGCTAAGTTTTCATTATTCTTACTACTGTTAGGTATGTCTTATATAACCAACAATGATAACCATGGTTGAACAAATTCAAAAAAACAATCTCAAATTCATTCTATCAAAACGTCCTTGTTATTTTGTATTTGATTTGACTTATTACAAAACCATGCCTACTAACACTTCCAAGTTATCGAATTCGAATCGAATCCTAGAGATCTTTGATCCGATCCGAATCCTAGAGATCTTTGATATCTTTGATCCGAATCAGGAATATCAATCTGATAGCGACGATATGGTCAACGTTAGAGAAGTGACTGTAGAGCATCGTCAAGAAATAGTTCAACTTCGACAAAAACTTACTGGAGAGCATCGTCAAGAAATAGATCAAGCTCGTCAAGAGACCATCCAAGCTCGTCAAGAAATAGATCAAGCTCGTCAAGAGACCATCCAAGCTCGTCAAGAACTCACTACAACTAACACAAAAGTTGCTACACTGGAGGAAAAACTCATTCATAAAGTTGCCCGCAATAAGGAACTAAAGAATCAACTACGTGATTGCAAGGAGGAGAAATATGGACTTCAAGCCCAGGCCTCAGATATCCAAGTCCAAAAGCTCAAGAAACATATTCAAAGCATGTACATTGTATTGGCAGGTCTTCCATTGGTCCTCGGGCTATTAGCAATTGTTTTGTTGTGGAAAAATTAAATCGCTACACGTAAGTTTTTCAAGAAAAAAATGGTGTTAACATTCTAACATTATTTAAGGATTGATTTCAACATACCGGTATATTCTCGACAAACCGAATCTATTACTTTTCCCTAAAATAAATAATCATCTAATGATTATTTACAAAAGGAATACATATACATAGCACTTTTCTAAATTGCCAATATTATAACAATTCTTATAGCTTCTAAATTAGAATACATATACTCAATATAATATTATCAATTAAGCCTATTATGAAGACTTCATTATCACCACCAAGATAATACCAACAGATACTATGTTTAATTACCAAAATACTTAAAAGCAAGCCCAAGAGCTTATCAAGATCCATAGTCGTCCTGCTGATAATTGACGTAAGCTTGTAGATACCGTTCCATCTCTGTGTTGGCATTCTCTGTTTACCCGTCAACTCCGGATAGTGAGATATAGACTTATGATTCCTAATTTGTAAAATACATAAGAAGCGATTCCATACCTCTACAATAAACTACGATCCACAATCGAAAATATAGTATCAAACAGACCATGTAAACAGAACACATACTAGACCAACAATTCCGCTATTTTCTCTATCCCTGTGGTGGCAAAGTTAATACCTATGTACGAAAAAAATGTCAGTATAAATCCCTATATAAATATTTGATACGTACATTATTGAATTTAATCTTTTTTCGTCCCTGACGAAATACATATTTCATCATCGACGAATCTTTCCAGTTCAAAATGAGAACCGTTTATTATTGAATTTTAATAAATATAAAGAAAATAAAGGCCCTTCAGCTGAAGGAACTTAGGAAAGTTGGACAGAAGGGGAGCGAGCGTAGAAGCTGGGAGGAGGAGAGGAGTGAGCGTAGGAGCTAAAGGAAGAGGAGAGCGAGCGGGGGAGCTAAAGGGTGGGTGGAGGGCGTTAGCCGAAAGTCTAAAGGGGGGTCTGTTCACAGATCACTCACTTCACTTTCGATTTATTCTTCAATCAAAAGCTTTACCACTGTACTATACAGTACAGAATGGACTATTTAAACAAGAATATCAGTCAACTCTAATCTATATAGTTATATTCGATTAATAATCGATTATTAATCGAAATTAATTACAAGTAAGCTTTTTTACTTGCAAATAGCCTTAGGCTAAAACTTTCGAAAATCAAGAAATTTCGAAAAATCGATAAATTTCGAAAATTTCTCTAAGTCCCTTTGAAAGTAAAATTTTCTAATCATATACATATATAAAAATCAATCACATTAATACTATATGACCCATTTTTTCAATATAATATTGACTATTGAAATTTTTAATACAATTGACGAAATAATTTATTCGTCAACCACGGATTCTGCCACCACAGGGTATTGAAGTACCTTCATCTTTTGCAAAACAAGGAATATAATGCCTCTCTTTCGTGAAACAATCGACAACCACCAAAATAGCATTAAACCTCGAATCTACAGGAAGTCCTGTTCCAAAATCCATAGAAATATCTTGCTACAATTACATAGGGATACTTAACGGCATGAGCGTCCCTTGATATAACTTTCGCGAATGTTTTGTCCTCTAACAAGTATGACAATTTCAAACGTAACGAGAAACATCTTTGTCCATTCTCGGCCAATAAAACTACTCTTTCAGAATAACCAATATCCTCGCATCTCCCGGGTGTCCTACCGCTGGCTGATCGCGAACCTCTACAATCAACTTAGTTCACCAATAATCAACTTCTGGTACCCAAAAACGATGCTTGTACCACAGCAATCCATCATCGAGGTGTGAACAGAATGCCAAAGATATATCGCAGCTACTTCGCACCCCACTCTCTATCATCTCAAACACCTTGATACAAAAAGCGTCTCGTTGTTGTGTATCAAATAAATGATCCACTAAATCACCCTGCAGCCCGTCTCGTAGGGACTCCGCTACATCCATAACGGAGACCTGGCATTGAATATCAGGGTGTATTCTGTCATGACCAAGCACGGTATGTCGTTGGTATATAACCCGTTCATTATTCTCTCCTTGGGGAAAATCTTGAGATCTGCAGCTCAAAGAGTCTGTTTTCCCATTCTCTTTACCCGGTTGATATGTAACTTGGAAATTACAATCAGCAAGAAGAACAGCCCATCTTTCTTGCCTTCGATTCAACTTCTTTGTAGTCATATAATGTTGAAGTGCTTTATGATCCGTAAGCACATCAATCGGAATCTCAGTGCCTTGAATATCCTCTCGCTACTCTTCAAAACAACGGACTATTGCTAACAACTTCTTATCGTATATCTCATAATTACATTCAACAGAAATAATTTTCTTGGAGAAAAATGCAACAGAGTAAAGTTCTCCATTATCCCCGATCTGCGATAATGTCCCTTTTTTTCTATAAAGTAATCAAAGGCGTCACATTCAGCAACTGACTTCTTACGCCTGTCAAAATGTGCTAGAGTTGACGCAGAAACAACTGCTTCTTTCAGAGCGACGAATGCTTCTTGACAGCTGTCATCCAGTAGAGCCCACTAGTTTGCTGGCCTTTGTCTGAAGTCTCGTCAATGGCCGACAAATCCTCGACTACCCTTTTATAAATCGACAATAAAAGTTCGTGAAGCCTATAAACTGAAGGGCCTCTTTCGCATTCGTAGGTTGAGCCCATTCGATAATGGCCTGAACCTTCGCGGGGTCCATCTTCACACCATCTACAGATAAGATCAAACCTGGGAAACTTCGTCTCTTGAACGAAGAATTCAATATTTGTCAAATTAGCGGTAGCAGCTTGACACCGGTCGCCAGAAGAGCTGCCCTCTGCAAGCCTCCGCGCACTCCCATCATGCGAACGCCTCAGTCCCAACACGCCCCCCACCTTCCCTCCCCCTCGCGCAAGACGTGTCCCTAACGTCGCCGGACTAACATCGTTAACCTTGTATTCTCAACGTAGAATACAAGCATCTTGTACATTCCCACTCTGTATATTCACAATTGACCATTCTCGGTGTTGTTCCTAGATCATCAGTGACAGACAGAGCATGCATATTTCCAATGCCACCTTCTTAGCTGCCTAATGTGCAAATAGAACCATCCACTTATAGAAACGAGATTGCGCAGCTCCAGATAATCGTGCTTCCACTCTGGCGCCAGTACAAACAATATCCTGTTAGAAGTAGGTTATTGAGCTAATAATCTTTCCCAGCTCAATTTGAGGTCCATCTTTCAGAGATGGCCACCGCCCCGAACAGAACTTGTTCCGAGGTCATACGACTTGACCCCTTATAGATACCGATAGAGCGACCCAGGCCTCGAACAAGCGTTTCGTCGTCGATACTTGGTAAGTCGCAATCTTGAGTAAGGATCGGCTGTTCTCATCATGAACCAGCCTGAGTCCAAGGCATACAGCGTATATCATCATTTCACCATGCAAAAACTTAACATGATCCTTCCCTCGGCGCGTGAGCTATCCCTACTCGCAGTGAGACAGGAGCACCCCCATGCTATTAATGAGGCATTTTTTCGTTTGGCTAAATCGCAGTGAAAGCAATCAGGCCCCAGTGTAAGAAAGAGAGTACTGCAGTTGGGGTTACTGAGGCGATTGTTGTGGTGATTGCGACAATGCACCGGTGAGAATAGAAGACAAACCACCTTATTTACGTCCCTTGATCAGCAAATATGAGTAAGTTAATTGATTTTCATCATAACAGCCAAAAGATCATTGAGTTCAAGGTGGGAAATCGACATTTGTGGTTCGAGATGGGTAATACAGTCGTTGTTTTCCAGCTACGGCGAGGCTGATGTAGGGAGGAAATTGGAAGTGGGTCAATATGAGAAGGGGCTTACGATGTACAGCGAGCCTGAATAACCAAACGAGGAGGTGTTGGAAGAGAATTCAAGAGGGAGGAGGTCGAGGAGAGGGGAGCGCGATTCTTATAGATGTTGAAAGCGGCGGAGGCCGCTAAACTCGGGGGGGGGGGGGGGCAAGTATCTTGACTGAGAGTGCAATTAAAATAATATCGAATTTAAAATAGATAACTTTCAATAGTTTATCGTGTGATATACACTAGCTACATCTAGGTCGGCATTCATTCAAAACATTACCAACTCGGGAATATACTAGAGTGTAATTAGTGTCTCCCAAAGATACACCCGTTTGTCAGATTGCTCCTCACCCTCTCTTCTCTATTTCATCATTTCACCCCTCCCTTGCCCCTTCATATCGTCAACCCCCATTATCTACACTATCACTCTCAACCCTTTCATTTTTCTTCTCTTTACATTACTCAGTATCATTAAACCAAATCAATTTGTATTAATTATCCCTGAAATTCTCTATTAATAAGAATAATCAACTAATAAGCCTTTTTCAAATTTCTTTATTATATTTCTTATTCTTGAAATCTATTTTATTTTATTTAATATTCTTCTTGATATAAATAAATATTTTTTTTTAATATAATTTGATTCTATATATCTTTATCCAATCTTATTTTAATAATTTAAAAATATGTTTTCTTTAAAAAGATTATAATAATCTGTTTTAAGTATAACTCTCTTTAGGGAATAAAATAAAAAGCATAGGGTAGAAAGTGAGGATATCAAAAGAACTATTATATTTTAGTATAATATGGTTAATTCTGAGGGGAAGAGTTCTATATAGAATAAAGCTTTTGTTAGTATTAATTCGGGCTAGTTTCCTTTATTTTTATTGGAAATCACATATACAGTATATATATTTATTTATTTATTTTTTATTTATATTAATTAACATCTGTTTTGGACCTCCCTAAGGGTATTTAGACATACTAAGATAAGGAACTATTTGAGCAGCGTGATTGTCACAACCGAATTTAGCAATTTAACTTCAATGCTAAAGGCTATTCACTTCTTTGCGGGTGTGATCCGCTTTTATTTCTAGAAGGGAATATCTGATCCGGGTTATTATTGAGATAGAGCTTGATTTCCGAGTGGATAGGCTTATTATGGGCTTCGATTTCTATAATAGAAGA